TTTTCAAGATGCTCAATCACGAAAGCCACTCGTGATTCCTCGTCAGGGAATTCATCAAACTGCAGATTGAGGGCATATTGCATTTCTGTCCGAAAGCCATGATAGTTTTTGGGCTCCCAAACTTCTGCACCAATCCTGGTACCTTTCTGGCGAGCTGGGTGGCTTTCCCCTTTTTGTCTGCATCCTGCGCCCTCCTCTCCTCAAGCCTCGCCGTCTGCATCGCTAGCTGGACCTCCAACACCCGGTACCTTTCTTCCAGGCTTGGACCCGCTCCAGCTCCTGCTTCTCCGGTTCCGGCTGGGTTGCTTATGATGCCTTCTCCTGCACAAGCTGCTTTCAAAGACTGTCGGAATGCTGTGATGAGATGATGAGCTGCTTGTGCGTAAAATCGTATCCCCTCAGAGTTTGTTCAAGTGCACAAACCTCTGTCTGTGACGGAGCCCCTCAGACATGGCTCCTCTAGTCACTAGCAGATTCCGACAGTGGTTGCTTTCGTAATCGCTTCCAACATAAAAGCTCCTTAACGGAAACACGTCTTCTGGACTCTCTGCGTGACAGTTTCCGGTGAGGAGTGGGTGTTCTTACAGGAGGTCCTGAAACCTCTCCACTGTTTTCGCTGGAAGTGTCTCTGAGCCATCCCTCCAGCTCAGCTCCTCTCCCCCTGCTGGTTCCCTCTTCAGCTGCTGCGTCTCTCCCAACCTGTGTGAGCCCTTTCACCTCCCTGCTGGTTCCCTCTTCAGCTGCTGCGTCTCTCCCAACCTGTGTGAGCCCTTTCACCTCCCTTCCGTCCGATGGCAGTTCCCTGACAGCCACCCACAACCTCCACCCACTGGTCTTTGTGTTGACTAAGAAAGTCTGAAGGGAGTTGTAAGCCTGGATAAAACACACTTGCACCCCTTCCTGTGTGATTAGGGTTCCCAACTGCAGGTGGATATTAACCATGTTCAGCCAAATGCACTTAAAGCTCGGGATGTAAGGAGGCATAATTTTCCATTCCCTCCTATACTCATCACATCCATTTCTGTTTTGCTGCAGTTCACCTTCTGCTAAAAGCTTACAGTATTCATCTCACTGCCTGCTGTGATAGTATTGCTTAACTCACATAAATTACATAATTATGCAACTCACATAAATTACATAATTATGCAACTCACATAATTTACACGTTACATTGTCATTACATTATTCCACCCCATTCGCTTCAATGCAAAGGAAACACAGTAAAATGGGGATGGGGTGAATGTAATCAATTACAGTGGTACCTCAGGTTAAGAACTTAATTCGTTCTGGAGGTCCGTTCTTAACCTGAAACTGTTCTTAACTTGAAGTACCGCTTTAGCTAATGGGGCCTCCCGCTGCCGCCGTGATGCAATTTCTGTTCTCATCCTGAAGCAAAGTTCTTAACCCGAGGTACTATTTCTGGGTTAGCAGAGTCTGTAACCTCAGGTACCACTGCACTTTTTCTTTGTGGACTGAAAGCAACAATACCAGTCCAGAATTCTCAGACATTCCTACTTAACATCCATCTTTGGACTTTCCCACTCAATACGTAAAGGTTGAAGAAGGGGGGGCTGGAGCACATGCTTATGTACCTCCTTCCCAGGTAACAACTAAGAATGCCTAGAGCTTAAGTTACTTCCAAATTGGCATGTGTGAAAACTCTGCTCGAGTTCTAAAAATCAAGCCCACCATATAATCCAATTGCTAAAAATGATGTATGGGCACAGAAATCACCCTTCATATATATATTCCTCCTCTCCCATTTATTATTTATAGTTTCTGTGCCTGTTTATTTATTTATTGCATTTGCAGGATATCCTTCCTTGGAAGAGTTCTGAGCAGTTCTCCCATCGCTATTTTTCCTTCACCAACAACTACGGTATGTTTGGTACATTAGGCTCTGAGGTGGTGACTGGTCCTAGTCCATCCAGTAGGCTTTATGGCTACGTATGGATTCAAGCCCAAATCTCCCTTCTGGTAGCTCAGTGCGCTAGCTCAAGACTAGTGAACCTGTTTTGGGGTCAGTGGGCACATCTGGAATTGGGTGCTGGAGGGGTGTGTAGCATATAGGGTTGCCATAGATCCAGATTTTCCTGGACATATCCAGAATAGTGCAGTCAGTAGCAGTGTCTGGGTGGAAATCGGGAAAATTGTCAGGGGAAATCTGGATGTATGGCAGGCCATGTTGGCAGTGCCATTTTAGCCATTTCCCCATAGAAATAGCTCAAAAACGGCATATACCTCCCCCCGATTTTGCCCCAAACCCTCAAGCTCAACAACTTTTGTGTCCATATTTTCAACCCTACATAATGTAAAATGGCTGCCACTTGTAAAAGAGCAGAAAAAGAGATAGGATCACAAAATAGTGTGGGCCTGGCCCCCCCCATTAAGCCACCACAAGAAAAAGGCATCTATATGAGCCACCCTCATTCTCACACCTCTTCTGGTTTTGCACCTTTTCAGAACATATGCATGCAGTGTATATTGGGTGCAAGCCTGTGGAACTCCATCCCAATGAGATTAGACAAGCATTGTCCTTGCTGGACTAAGACTTTTTTGTTCTGGCAGATATTTTAAGGTAGTGTTTGGTTTCATGATTCTAATTCTGATTGTTTATTAACCCATTTCCTGTGGATTGTTTTTCTGTACACCACTTAGAAATGTGAATAATTAAATGACATTGAAAGAAAGAAAGAAAGAATCATAGAATCATAGAGTTGGAAGAGACCACAAAGGCCATCGAGTCCAACCCCCTGCCAAGCAGGAAACACCATCAGAGCACTCCTGACATATGGTTGTCAAGCCTCTGCTTAAAGACCTCCAAAGAAGGAGACTCCACCACACTCCTTGGCAGCAAATTCCACTGTCGAACAGCTCTTACTGTCAGGAAGTTCTTCCTAATGTTTAGGTGGAATCTTCTTTCTTGTAGTTTGGATCCATTGCTCCGTGTCCGCTTCTCTGGAGCAGCAGAAAACAACCTTTCTCCCTCCTCTATGTGACATCCTTTTATATATTTGAACATGGCTATCATATCACCCCTTAACCTCCTCTTCTCCAGGCTAAACATGCCCAGCTCCCTTAGCCGTTCCTCATAAGGCATCATTTCCAGGCCTTTGACCATTTTGGTTGCCTTCCTCTGGACACGTTCCAGTTTGTCAGTGTCCTTCTTGAACTGTGGTGCCCAGAACTGGACGCAGTACTCCAGGTGAGGTCTGACCAGAGCAGAATACAGTGGCACTATTACTTCCCTTGATCTAGATGCTATACTCCTATTGATGCAGCCCAGAATTGCATTGGAAAGAAAGAAAGAAAGAAAGAAAGAAAGAAAAGGAAATCACACTGCCTATCAAACTGCCTTGATTTAAATGAAGGTAGAATGCTGGTCAAACCTAAACAGCATCTTAAAAAGCAGAGGCATCACCTTGCCAAAGGTCTGTATTGTTAAAGCTATGGTTTTCCCAGTAGTGATGTATGGAAGTGAGAGCTGGACCATAAAGAAGGCTGATCACCAAAGAATTGATGCTTTTGAATTCTGGTGCTGGAGGAGACTCTTGAGAGTCCCATGGACTTCAAGAAGATCAAATGTATCCATTCTTAAGGAAATCAGCTCTGAGTGCTCACTGGAAGGACAGATCCTGAAGCTGAGGCTCCAATACTTTGGCCACTTCAAGAGAAGAGAAGACTCCCTGGAAAAGACCCTGATGTTGGGAAAGATGGAGGGCACAAGGAGAAGGGGATGACAGAGGACGAGATGGTTGGACAGTGTTCTCGAAGCTATGAACATGAGTTTGACCAAACTGTGGGAGGCAGTGGGAGACAGGAGTGCCTGGCGTGCTCTGGTCCATGGGGTCACGAAGAGTCAGACATGACTAAACAACCAAACAACAACAGAATACCGGTATCAAATTGTGACTGTTTCAACTGCTGCAGTTGGAGGATCCACATCCCCTACATGCATGGAAGAAATTATTTGCTCTATACCCCAGGTATTTCACCCAGGTAATACTATCTGCCCAGACAAAGATAATCCAAAGCCTCCTTTTTACATGAACTCATTCTGCCTATTGCCAGAAATGGCTTGTCTCTAACCTGAGGCCAATAGATGCTGGGAAGTAATTAGTTGTAGTGCTGCAATAATCCCTGAGTAAATGTCAGGGTAACACATATTTGTGTTGAAGGTGAAACACTTGTGGTAACAAATGCCCCCTTTCTCTGAATAAAAAGGTATTTACATGTATCATGCATCAATCAGGGACTCATTACCAGAGTTGTCTTCAGCTCCCTGAGCCTTGGTCTTTCATGCATGATTTTGGCACATTATGTATGTTTCTGCGGATAATTAAGAGAACATCACAATATAAACCGAATGCACCAGACTGAACTGAGAAGAAGAATACAGGGGTTCACGGCCCTCATCTCTGTTTACCTTTTATCTTTTTCTACTCCTAGCACTATGTCAGCCTGGTTCACCAAGCTGGTGCCCTCAAGATGTTTTGGACAACAGCCCCGTCAGCAGCAGGTTGAGGAAGGTTAAAAAATAGTTACATAAAAAATAGCTGGAAGGATAAAAAGCTAGCTCCTTGTCTCTGTTTAGGTACAGGACAAAAATGGCAATCCATATCGAAAGCAGTGCTTTTTCCCCCTAGAAGGGGTTCCAGTACTCACCATGATCCTCTTCCTCCCCCCTTTACTCTCTCTCTCTCTCTCTCACACACACACACACACACACACACACACTCCTGTCCTCCCTCAATTAAAGCCCCACTTTGTGCACCCCCTCTCCCTTCTTCAACCTCTCCCTATTTGCTCTTCTCACCCACCCAGCATCCTGGCCTACCCCTTCTCCTTCTCCTTTCTTCCTCTCCTCCCAGCCACCAGCCCCACTGTCTGTGTTCACCTCTACAGCTTTCCACAGCCACAGAATGGAGGATGGTGATGCTAGCAGCAGAGGCTGCTGCCTCCTTCCAGTTCTCTCTCCCTCTCCCTCCCCCTGCCCCACTGACATGGGAAGAGTGAGCAGAGATGAAAGAGAAGTGGCACTTGTGCTTGTCTGGCCACTCGCAGCGCAGCGAGGCAGCGGCATAGCAACGCATCCAGGGGCAGCTGAGGGGGAACAGTGCAACCTGTTGACTGAGAGCGGTAGCTACAGCCCCAAATAAGGGCCTCCTTTTCCTTGCCACCACTGCCTCAGCCTCCTGCTTTTTACAGGAAGCTTTTAGCCACAGTTGCTTGCTCTTTCTACCCTCCATTTACCTTATCACAATATTTTTTGGGGGGAAAGGTGCCTGAACTGTGCACCATTGACTACAACCAGAAAAAAGCACTGATCGAGTGATAGTGACTAAGTAAAGGTGGTGCCAGAAAAATTAACAGATATTAAGATTCAGTCACATTAAGATTCAATGAAATTTCCAACCCAACTTGGCCTTCAGAGTGTTTAAATTCTTTTGAATAGAAATATTTTAAATATTGTTTCTACTAAAGTTGAAGTTTACTTTACTGTTGTTTTTCCATTTGAAACCGAGGTTGTGTTGTGTAAGTGTATTTGTAAAAAAACAGCCATGACTGGGTCTGTGGTGCAGGTCAAGGGGAGGTTAACCTTCCCTCCTGTGCAACAGTCCCAATGAAAATCTCCCCTGGGTGATAATCTGTTATTGGCTCCAAACAGCTTGCTCTCCTGGGGCAAACAGTAGCTTTAGGGCGGCAATTTTCGTGCTCATTGCATGGCGGCCCCTGCTTGGAAAAGAATTTTTGCCTGTGTCTATGTGTATCAAAAAGAAAAGCAACACAATGCTGAGGTTGTTTTTGACCAGCCAGAGAAAGCAGAATTGTAGACCTCTCACAAACAGGAACCATGAGGTAAATTTCTGAGGAAGGGCAACACTGGAGAAAATGCAAATGGCCAGAATTTCCAAGCCCAAAGTATTACAGACTTTGAGTTAGGCTGCAATCTTAACCTTACTACCTGGCCATAAGTCCCACTGAATTCAATAGGAGTTTCTTCTGAGTAGACATAGTTAGGATTGTGATGCTAGTGCTTTCAGAACAGAAATTAGAGATTGAGGTACAATTGTTTTCATGTTTCTAAGCACACTTTACCCTCTGTCCTGTTTTATGATTCAAGCAATGGGGTTCTCTTCCACACTTCCTGGGAATCTATTCCCCATTCTAATAGATCACACTGTTCAGAAATTTTTTCCTGATGTTCAGTCCAAATTTTTCTTTGCTCAATTTCATCCTATTATTCTTCAATATGCCCAGTGGAGGCTGGTGAAAACAGAAAGAGAATAGACAACCCTGACACATTTTGTGTCCTCGGAAGCAATTTGCAGCAGCAGGCAAAGCAGAGGAGTCAATTCGGAGCATTCTGTAAGCGAGAGGATCTTAGACTTAGGGCATGCCCTTTCAGACAATGTTTCTGATGAAAAACTGAAATGTATAAAAGTGTGAGGTGGGGAGAAGCCATTACTTGTAATTATGTTGCTAATTATTTTATATCTGAACAGCAGGACACTAGAAAACCCGGTGTGTGTGCCTAACCTTTTGCATCCAGGCTATAGGTAGGCCACAGGGAAGTCAACTAGAAAGCTCATGTTGTGTTTTGGCTAGGAAGACAAGGAAGCCCCTAATTCAAATCTCACCATAGTCCTGAACTCACAAGGGCTGCGTTCAGATGGCCCTTTATTCCATCTGCCTGAAATTTTCTTATATCAATTTTTATGATCTTTCACATGATGTAAAACCCACTTCTGGAAATGTAGTGGAATCTAACAGGACTCGTTTCTGTCTTAATTTTTTTCCATTTTCCATTTCTGATTTTTTGTTTTTGAAATTTTCATTTCATTTTCCATTTTTCCCCATTTCTGTCTTTCCCCCCAGAAAAAAATTAATTTGCAACCCTCGTAACTCAGAAAACCGTAGGATTTTCATACCGTAATTTTCTCAGTTTTCATGATCACACCAACACCGCTCATGTGATGAAATTTGGAGAGGTATCCTGGCATACAGGTCTTTCCTGCTATTTAAATTTTAGCACGACATGGAAGTATATGAACCAAAAGCCACAGATTCATAATACAACACACAGTGCTGTATTAGGAACATTAGAAATTGTGGCAGAAGCACTAGCATGATAACCAGTAAAGCCAACACAACTAAGCCCCATGTCCGAATGCAGGCTTGGTGACCTCAGGCAAGTGGTCATCCCTCAAGTTCAGTATATGTGTAGTATTTCAGATCTGTGCTGATATACTGCTTGGTGCGAACTTGCTTCCCAATTATTTGTTAATTTTTTTTAAACCCTCAACTGTGAATTTTGATGGCAAACATCATCTATCCCTCTGGGCTCAATCTTCTGCCCAGAAGGACAAGGCAAGGCAACTGTAGTTATTCAGCATGTTTTCACTGAATATTCAATATTCAATATATTCAATATTTATTGTCCTTTGACACCTGAAGATTTTGCAGCAAGAGTTCATTTGGCAGTGCCTAACCAGTAAGTCCCCTTCATGGATCATTGCGTTGTCATGGCAAAGGGGCTTGAATAACTTCAAGAAGCTATGAGCTATGCCATGCAGGGCCACCCAAGATGGACAGGTCATAGCCAAGAGTTTAGACTAAATGTGATCCACCTGGAGAAGGAACTGGCAAACCACTCCAGTATTTTGCCAAGAAAACTCCATGGACATAAAAAAGGAGAAGCTTTGAGAAGAAAGTGAGGGTTTCCAAGGCATGCTCTGGTTCATGGGGTCACAGAGAGTCGAACACAACTAAGACGACTAAACAACAACAACCAGTAAGTACCCTGCATGGTAAGTGCCTAGCATGAAGCAGTCAACATTTCACAACATGGCAGTGAATATGTAGTAGCAATTAATATTTTACAGTATCTGATAGTTGTATCATTTAGTAAGTTTTGCATTAACTGTATTCATTCAGTTAAATTGCTGAATTTGTCAATTTTCATTTTTGAAATTCAGATGTCCCATCTTGAGATCAACTTTTCTGAAATGTTTCAGCTCTGTTATCTGGAAAGACAATGACAGCTTAAAGGAGAGGCACAGACTGGTCGTGAAATTTCTATGATGAGGGTTCAGTGAAGTTAAGAGTTCTAGTGAAATATTGTGAAATGCACACTTCTTTCCCCCCGCTGAAGTGACATGAAATAACCTCCTTGGACTTTTCTTTGAATTTGACATTTTTGATATATAAACATTTAGTCTTTATCCTAATGAGTCAGCAGCAATCACTACAACGCTACTTATGACATACTGGTATTTTGTCAGTTTGATAATGATGAGTTGCTGGGGTGAAAATAGATTACAACTAGTTTTGCGCTCAAATTTCACCTTTTAGCATATATGCTAGCAACTAGCTGAGCCATTATTGCATTGCTTCAATAATATTTTCTGTGAGTAATGAAGCCATTGACATAACTAGAAGCGGAGGTGCTATGCTCACAGCATCAGGAGAAAACTATTTCTTCAGCTTCTTGAATGATAGCCTAATGTCTCTTTCATCTCCTATAAAATGTGCAATATACTAAACAAGGAAAGGTGAAGAAGCATATGGATTTAACCATGATACATATTCTTCAAGGAGATGGAGAGGATTGTATCCAGGTTTTTAAGCAAGCAGTTTGAAATGCATATGATAGAATGACTATCGAGAACCAGAATTTCCAGATGAAATGGAGGAAAGGAGAATGCTAGGTTAGGAATATGGTTTTTATTTTATTGTTTTACGCTGATTGGCCATATTTCTTTGTGGGGCAACTAGTCAGTGGTGGGCAGGACCAGAGGCCAAAAATGAGTGGAGCAACATGAGCTACAATTCTTAGATTTGTACAGGAGGACATGCAAAGTTCACAGGTCTCTACACACCCCTCTGCATTTTCCACCCAGGTGAGCATGAGGCATTGTCACAGTTCAAGAACACATCTGAGCCAGACAAAATTATTGCGCAGAATGTGGAGCATGGCCAGTGAATCGTGGCCTGTGGAGAGTCCTGAGGAGCAGCTAAAGAGACCTATAGGGCCTCATTTGTCCCCCAGGCCTAAGGCTCCCCACCTCTTTGTTGCATCATGAATAATGTGAAATATTTTGATTTGACCTGTGATTATATCCTTAAGGAATTAGGGAATTTGTAAACTTTAAAAAAACAGCAGCATAGCTAGCTTTTAGGGAAAGTTATATTTAAAAAGAGATCTGAACCAAACCAAGTTGGGAATTTAACATGTTAAAGAGTCACACTGATATGACATGCACTGGCTTTATATTTATTATTTCTTGGAAGAACGTTCAGAAGAGCAAAACTGAAGTATATCATATTTGTTACCCTGATAGAATTTATGTTAATAACCATATATGCAGTCTGAAGCTTCTGCTACTAAAACCACATTTCTATTTTGTTGAATGTGATTCCTGTACATGGTGTTACAATGCAATCCTATGCATGCTGACTTTGAAGTAAGTCCCACTGTGTTCAATGATAATTTCTCTCTGGGACATATATTTAGGAATGCAGCCTTAGTTTTTTCTTTTCTTCTTCTTTTCTCTTGGAAACACTGTAACCTCTCTAATGAAAGGGCACAACAAGGCCTACAGTATTTTCAATATGCAGCTATCTGGCAAAAATTCAGCAGTAAATTTAACTACATTTCTCTTCCTTTCAAGGAACTCCCATAGCAGTAGAATTCACAGCTTGCATAGCTTTGATCAATCAATCCATCAATGAATTGGCTATGCTTCTAATACAAGGGCTTAGCTACTGGAGAAACTCCCGACATTACAGAACAAAGCAGCTAAATCTATGTTGCGGGTGTGATCCAAGAATTCCCAGTCAATCAATCTTTAATCTGCAAGACTGGCAATGATCACAGAATTAATACTTTTAAAGGATCATTTATCATCACTGAGATTTGAGGTGCAGCTAGTGTTTGCCATGGGACCATTTCTCTAAAAGTATCCCCCTATCTTTCTAACACCTACTTCCTGCATAAAAACATAGGATAGGAACATTTTCTCTCATGTAGATATGGGTGCCTCTACAGTGGTACCTCGGGTTAAGTACTTAATTCATTCTGGAGGTCCGTACTTAACCTGAAACTGTTCTTAACCAGAAGCACCACTTTAGCTAATGGGGCCTCCTGCTGCTGCCGCACCGCCAGAGCACGATTTCTGTTCTCATCCTGAAGCAAAGTTCTTGACCTGAAGCACTATTTCTGGGTTAGCAGAGTCTGTAACCTGAAGCGTATGTAACCCGAGGTACCACTGTATTTATCTGCTTCAGATCTGTTCTTCTCCCCTCACCCAGCTCTGTACTGTGCCCTTCATTGCCGGAAAACACCTATACGAGCTGCTCAGATTAAGAAGCATATAATTCCCTGCTGGTCATTCAGAGTGGTTCTTATTTGTGCAAATGTGCTTCATTTAGATGTGCTCCATTTAAATGTGCTTACTTGAGATATGTATCCTATTCTATGCTGACCACAAGCAGGACTCCAAGGGGCATGATGCATACCTGAGGGTAGCTTTGTCAGAAAACTAGCATGAAAGGTTCAGATGGAGTTTCAGCACCTTGGATAGCTCAGAGCAGACACTTGCTCTGGCAAGACCAGGCTGAGGCCTTCCTTGGGTCAAGCTACAATACACTTCCCAGGCTGTCTCTTCCTGGAGAATGGAGAGCGTTAAAAGGTAAAGGTGCCTGGAGCTTAACACTGTCACTTGTCAGTCAGCAAATGCCTTATGGATTGCCTTCACTGTAAGCATGAGTCCCCTAGTGTAAATGGGCCTACTTTTCCTTTTAGAGTTGCACAGAAGAGGGAATTTCAGCCAGTGCATCTCATTGTGCTCAACTGAGAAAAGCTTTGGCTACTAAAACTGCCTCTTGTGCAGAACAGTTAAAGGTAGGAGAGCCCTCTACTATTTTTGGCCACCCTGGAATCTGAATGACATGGAAAAGGAGAGAGACAGCTTTCTGCTAACTTAGTAGCCAGCTACATTTTGCTTATTTATGAATTATTTCCAGTTACAGTGTCCACAAAAAGACACTTCACTAATCTCTTAGGTCTCAAGATATTCTACATATGTCTCAATTTGCATGTTCTGAAATAAGGGGTGGCCAATGCAGTGTCCTGCAGACGTGTCTGGACTCCCATCATTCCTGATCATTGCCGTTGCTGGCTGGGCCCGCTGGGCACTGAAGCCCAGTAACACCTGGGTGGCTACAGGCACCCCATTTCTATTCTAACCTCTTTCTACTTTGCAAAAGAGAAGAAACGGGAGTGTTTTGGAATTTATGGCTACAATTTCTGCTGCTGGAAAGAAAGAAAAAACCAAGAATGCGTTATAGAAATGCCAAATTAAGTAAGACACTTGGACAGGCAAAACTCAGCTAGCATAAGTGAAATTAGCCTTTTTACATAAAGTGGTAACACTTTCTACTAGTGGTATCAAGGGTCTCATCATTCATTGCCCAGAAATGAAAACACACACACACACACACATACAGTGTCCTTAAGGGTTCTTCATTCATTTGTAATTCTCAAGATAACTCAACACTGTCAAAATCAGAAGTGTGTTTTGTAAAAGCCAACGAACTGTGCTTCCCCATTCTTCAAATGATACATTGCACATCTGCCTTAAGGAAATTCATTATTGTAACTAAAATTCTGAACATAATTTTTGTATTTTTAAAAAAAACAACAGAAACAGTCTATGGACACCCTATAGAATATAAATATTCTATATTTATATAGAATATACACCCTATAGAATATAAATAGACTATACACCCTATAGAATATAAAGAGCCAAACAACAAATAATAGCTATTGCAGAGTGTTCAAGTTGGCTGCGTGGTGGGGGAAGCTTTGTATAGTTTTCTAAAAGAAAGCAAGGGGAACTTTAGTGGACATTAATTGGAAATGAATTTTAAAAACTCGGGAGCATGAAGATACATATCCTTCTCCTATACCACTGTTCTTCCTTCCAATGAATTAATCAGTCAGTCTGTGAGCACTTAGAAAAGGATGCTGTGATTAATAAGACCCAGCATGAGTTTCTCAAAAACAAGGGATTGGGAGGAAGCAGATGAACTCAAACTCTAGTTCTTAAGTTACAAAATGCTGATGCAGCCCAGACGAATAATGGCCAAAAAAAATGCCATATTATTTGAGATTTCTTAGGAAATGTCTCAGATCAGCACTGTATACTTCAGGGTGGATCTTATATGTAGATTGGACACACAGATTTGCATTAACTCACAATACATTCTTAGGGCTCCTCGACATGCTCTGGAGCTTACTGTAGATAATAAGGTCTGCCTAGCCACCAAACCCCTTCACGGATCACTGCCTTGCCATGGCGAAGGGGCTTGAATAACTCAGAGAAGCTATGAGCTATGCCGTGCAGGGCCACCCAAGATGGACAGGTCATAGTGGAGAGTTTTGACCAAACGTGATCCACCTGGAGCAGGAACCGGCAAGCCACTCCAGTATCTCTGCCAAGAAAACTCCATGGACAAAGACAACAGGCATATAAAAGTTATGACGCTGGAAGATGAGCCCCTCAGGTCGGAAGGCGTCCAACATGCTACTGAGGAAGAGCGGAGGACAAGTACAAGTAGATTCAGAGCTGATGAAGCGGCTGGGCCAAAGCCGAAAGGACGCTCAGTTGCGGATATGCCTGGAAGCGAAAGGAAAGTCCAATGCTGTAAAGAAAATATTGCATAGGAACCTGGAATGTAAGAACTATGAACCTTGGTAAGTTGGATGTGGTCAAAAATGAGATGGCAAGAATAAATATTGACATCCTGGGTATCAGTGAACTAAAATGGACGGGAATGGGCGAATTCAGTTCGGATGACCATGATATCTACTATGGTGGGCAAGAATCCCGTAAAAGAAATGGAGTGGCCCTCATAGTCAACAAAAGAGTGTCGAAAGCTGTACTGGGATGCAATCTCAAAAATGATAGAATGATCTCGATACGAATCCAAGGCAGACCTTTTAACATCACAGTAATCCAAGTTTATGCACCAACCACTGGTGCTGAAGAAACTGAAATTGACCAGTTCTATGAAGACTTACAACATCTTATAGAAACAACACCAAAGAAGGATGTTCTTCTCATTATAGGGGATTGGAATGCTAAAGTAGGGAGTCAAGAGATAAAAGGAACAACTGGCCTTGGAGTTCAAAACGAAGCAGGGCAAAGGTTAATAGAGTTCTGCCAAGAGAACAAGCTGGTCATCACAAACACTCTTTTCCAACAACACAAGAGACAACTCTACACATGGACATCACCAGATGGGCAGCATCGAAATCAGATTGATTATATTCTCTGCAGCCAAAGATGGAGAAGCTCTATACAGTCAGCAAAAACAAGAGCTGGAGCTGACTGTGGCTCAGATCATCAGCTTCTTATAGCAAAATTCAAGCTTAAACTGAAGAAAGTAGGAAAACCACTGGGCCGGTAAGATACAATCTAAGTCAAATCCCTTATGAATACACAGTGGAAGTGAGGAACAGGTTTAAGGATTTAGATTTGGTGGACAGAGTGCCTGAAGAACTATGGATGGAGGCTCGTAACATTATACAGGAGGCAGCAACTAAAACCATCCCAATGAAAAGGAAATGCAA